CCTTGGGGGCTCGGCCAGCTGGGGACCAGGCTGACCCTGCAGCACGCCTGTCTCGCGTGCGCGCCCCAGTGTCCCAGCAGGTGGGACGGGAGGAGGGGCATTGCCGGGCGACCCGGCTTGGTGAGGTCCCCACCACAGTGAGCCGACCCGTCGGCCATAGAGACAGACCTCAGAGCGGCGGGCCTCTAGGTAGGCGCGTGCCGAGGGGGCGGGGAGCGGGCCGCACAGGGAGACCGTGGGCACCAGTGACAGGGGTGGCCACGTCCCTGTCCGCCGCGCGCGTGGCCGTACAGTCCTGATTGCCTTTGCCGGCTGCTGTGCTCCTGCTCGCTGAGGACCGCCTCTGGGCAGTCTCGCGCAACCCTCGATCCCCTTTTGGGATCTGGGCACACACCTGCGCCCAGGGTGGCTAGGACCCAGGCCAGGCGGTGGGCCGCGTGGGAGCCAGCCGCTGCTGCTTGGCCTGCCATCTGGCCGCCAGGACTGGAGACCAGAGCCCGCCTGGTGGGAGACTCAGTGTCGGCGCTGGGGTCTCCAGAGAACTGAGCGCACCTTCGCCTGTGCTCGTGTTTATTGGAAGATGGGGTTAGAAACCATCTCCTATTTTACAATAAGTAGATGACCGTGTCCCCAAAAGTTGTTCCGTACATGTTTATGGTAGAAAGTTCTCTAAAGGTACAGTGGATGGGAAAGGGTGCACATCAAACAGCAGAATTTCCCCAAAGCCAGAACATTTAAGGAGGAAGTGGAAGAGTCACTTGGAAACACAAAGCACTGTGTAAGAGCTGTCATGTAGGACCAGGACACGGGCACATGGACCAGGGGGCCTGGCTGGCTCCTCTGGGGAGCGATCCCCGAGACTGCGGGGACGCAGTGTGCCTGCTCACTCGGGCTGTGTCCCCCAGGTCTGGCTGTGGTCACTCCCCGTGCTCACCAGGTTGGCCCAGCCCTTTAGGTTTGGTGCTGGGATGTTCCATGATGAAACGTTGCACTGAGCCCAGACGGCCTTGGCCCCTGCCTGGTCCTGCCCATCTCAGCCCCATCTGCAAGCCGGTAGCGAGGCCTCGCCTGGTGCTCTTAGCTCCTAAAGATCGTGAGACGGGGTGTGACGTGCGTGCTTGGCTATGGCAGCACTTCCTGGTGGCCCACTGTCTAGTGTCCACACCCGCTCACGGAGTGCAGGCTGTTCTGCAGTGCCTGGATGCCCATGTCCTGCCCACCGACACTGGGCTGCGTGGCCCTTGACGGGAAGAAGTATTCCAGAGCAGTGTTGGGTCACGGGTGGCAGCTGTAGAAAGTGGCACTAAGGAAAAGCGGGCTTGGTGTGGATCTCAGTAGGAAAGGGTGACAAAGAGCACCCCACTCCCTTCAGCTCAGCCCCTCAGTGACACCGCCCATATAGAGCTGGGGGGGCTGCGGGTACACATCTGTCCTACCAGAACCGCGTGTCCTGCAGACAGGAACCGTGTTCTGCTCGGCACCAGCCTGGCTTGTGATAGGTGATCGAAACTTTAATTATGAAAACTTTCAAACAAGAATAGTACAGTGAAGGGGCAGGCAGCTGGCATGGTGGTTAAGGGTGCTGGACTCCCACATGGCTGACCACAGTTCAAGTCCCAAACCTGGGGGCTAGGTTTCTCACTTTCCATCTCTCTCATTCTGTCCCTCTCTTGTCAAAATAAAATAAGTAAAGTTAAACTAAAAAAATAAAATCTTGGGACCAGCAGTTGGCATAAGGGCTATATTGCTGGACTCCCATGTAGTCGACCGCGGTTTGAGTCCCGGACCCGGGGGCTTAAACTCACGCAGGTCACGTGTGCATGCGTGCCCAAAATAGAGGAGAATGGAGAAGGAGCTCACTTTCTGTCTGTCTGTCTCTCTCTGGCAAGTGCTGTATGTGTCCTATAGCAAAAACCTCTCCAAAAAAAATAGTACAGTGAAATTCATGTGCTCACTGCTGATTTCAACAACAGTAACATGTCACCATGTTTTCTTGTAGGAATTATTTTCTTTAGGGGCCGGCAGGTGGCATGGTGGTTAAAGGCGCTGGACTCCCACATGGCTGACCACAGTTCAAGTCCTGGACCTGACAGTTTGCTTTCTCACTTTCTCTCTCTCTCTGTGTGTCTAACTCTGGTCAAATTAAAAAAAAAAAAAAAAAAAAAAAGATGAAAAATTAAAAAAAAAAAAAGATGATAAGTAAAATAAACAAGATATTTTTTTAAAAAAAAGGAATGATTTTATTTAACTTTATTTATTTATTTAAATATGACCAGAGAGGGGAGGGGGGGAAAGAGAGAGAGAAAGTGAGAAAGCTAGCCTCCTGGTCTAGGTCTCGAACCATGGTCAGCCATGTGGGAGTCCAGTGCCTTTACCACCACACCGCCTGCCGGACCCCCATTGTTTAAGTTCTAAGAAAGTTACACAGCAAAGAACAGTGAAATTAAAATTAAGTGGTTAGGAGAAAAGGTTGTTAGATGTTATTTTTCCCCCAAAGTCCATCCATTCACTCTTCTGTGAAAGAGGCAGAGAGAGACGGGCACTTTCAACAGGACTCCCACACTGTGATCCACCCCCTAGTTCTAGTGAGCCTGGGTTGTAGGTTTGGGGATTTTGGGCACACACACATTCCTGGCATGTTTTTCAAGCCACCGGGTCCTGGTTTTGACCTGTGCAGTCAGCCAAGTGGGACAAAGCCACTTTAACTGCTATATCATTGTGGAGAGCAGTCAATTTGAAAACATGTGATTAAAACATGCGGCCTGGGGGCTGGCAGGTGGTGTGGTGGTTAAGGAGGCTGGACTCCCCCACATGGCTGGCTGTGGTTTGAGTCCCAGACCAGGCAGCTTGCTTTTCCACTTTCCCTTTCTCTGTCTCTCTCTCTCACTCTGTCTCTCTCTGGTCAAATTAAAATGAATAAATAAATAAAGCTAAAGCATGCGGCCTGTAGACACATGCAGACATGCGCTTTTGTAAGCTGCTTCAGCGGGGCTGTTGAGCGTTTATATGGAAGCAGTACCTGCCTGCTGTCGTTGGTTGTCTTTTGTTGTTGATACTAAATACCCTGATAGTATTGGGCTAAAGGAAGTCATATGTGTTTATTAAATTGTCTCTCAAAAAGATTAGAGAAATTTGGGACCAGCAGTTAGCGTAATGGCTATGTCGCTGGACTCCCATGTAGTCGCGATTCGAGTCCTGGACCCGGAGGTTTAAACACGCTGGGCGCGTGTGCATGCGTGCCCAATATCCCAAGAGGAGAATGGATTGGAGAAAGGATTATGGCGTGGCCATTCCCCCTGGGGGGTGATTTCTCGCTTCCTGTCTCTCTGTCTCTCTCTCTGGCGAGTGCATGCACCCTATAGCAAAAACCTCTCAAAAAAAGAAAAAAATAGAGAAATTTGGGACCAGCAGGTGGCATGGTGGTTAAGGTGCTGGATACTCCCACATGGCTGACCACAGTTCAAGTCCTGGACCTGGTGGCTTGCTTTCTCACCTTCTCTCTGTCTGTGTGTGTCTCTCTGGCCAAATTAAAAATAAATGAATGAATAAATAAAGTTAAATAAATAATTTAAAAAGATGAGAGAAATTATTCGGCACCAGTCATTCTCACATCTTCAGACAATTTACATCCAACAACTGGCTCTGTATCCCAGCTCCTCCTCCCTTACTCTCTCTGCATTCCACTTCCTTCTTCCCATTCCTTTTGCATCCCATTTTCCCCTTCCCCCATTTCCTGCCCTGTAAAAGAATAAAGCTGAGGCTGGTTCTAGTCGCAGCTTCTCCATCAGAGAAGCCGCGCCCACCGCTCCTCGCTTTTCTGTACCTGTGTGTGTGTGTGTGTGTGTGTGTGTGTGTGTGTGTGTTATTGTGTCTATTTCTAATCCACAGCCTCCCCGCTCAGAAACGTGCTCATGCCCAGCTGGTCCCGGCAGATCGTTGGAAGTCACGAGTCATTTTTATATGGAAAAATACATCACGACTTCTGTAACCCAGTACCGTGCCACCAGCTGGCTTGACATGGGGTGATTAAAAGGAAATGGAGGGCCGGCCTGTGAGGGGAGTAAGTTTTTACCCAACAGCTTTTTTTATTTTTTAAGAATATTTATTTATTTTAATTTGACGAGAGAAAGTGAGAAAGCAAGCTACCAGGTCCAGGACTTGAACCACTGTCAGCCATGTGGGAGTCCAACACACTGAATCACCCCGCCACCTGCTGGCCCGTTACCTAACAGTTTTATGATATAACCAAGTCCCAGCACATGAAATTCTCTGGACATCCAAACCACAGCATCTACCTAAATCTGTATTGCCACTCAGATGCACACACAGGGCTTTTTTTTTTAAAGATAGATAATCAGGTTTTTTAAAAGAATTATTTATTTGGGCCAGCAGGTGGCGGGGTTGCTAAGGATGCTGGACTCCCACATGGCCGACTGCATTTGGAGTCCGAGACCTGCCGGCTTGCTCTCTTTCTCTTGCTCTATCCCTCTCTGGTCAAATTAAAAATAAATAAATGAAATAATACCAAAAAAATTATTTATTTAATTTGTTTTGTTTTGCTTTGTTTTGAGAGGTTTTTGCTATAGGACACATATACTCGCCAGAAAGACAGACAGAAAGCAAGAAATCACCCCCTGGGGGGATGGGCATGCTTCAGTCCCTTCTCCATTCTCCTCTCGGGATCTTGGGCACGCACGCACACACGCTCAGTGTGCTTTTAAGCCACCGGGTCTGGGACTCGAACCATGGTCTACTACATGGGAGTCCAGCGATGTAGCCATTACGCCATCTGCTGGTTCTTGTTGGATATTATTTTCAATTTGACCAGAGGGAGACAGACAAAGGGAGGGAGGGAAGGAGAGAAAGTAGAAAGCAAGCCACCAAGTCCAGGACTCAAATAGCCACATGAGACTCCAACACCTTAACCACCACGCCACCTGCCGGCCTGATAATTAGTTTTTTGGGGGAGTTTTTTTGAGAGAAAATATTGCTATAGGGTTCATGCCTTCACCACCTAGAGGGGATGGCCATTGCATTCCTTTCTGTATTCCCCCTCAGGATTTGGGGCACATGCACGTGTGTGCATACATGTTTGGCATGAGTTTAAGGCCACTGGGTCTTGAGACTTGAACCGCAGTTAGGCCCATGGGAGTCCAGCAGCTTAACCACCACACCACCTGGTGACCCTAATCCCTGTGTTTTTCAAGATACTTCTTTTTGCTAAACAAAGTAAATTATAGGCTGGCCGTATAGGCTAGAGGTTAAGAGGGCCGGGTCTCGCATGACGGACCTGACTTAAATCTTGGCTCTTGAAGCTTGAGAGAGACATGGCATGCTGCACGGGGACACTCCATGGCTTACACGTCTGCTTACACGTCACTAACAAAACGGTGATCTCCTGATGCCGTATGGTGGCCATCCTGCATTTAGAGTTTTAACATTGTCCACAGAATATCTTTGTTAGCTTTTTTTTTGTTTTAGGTTTTTTTTGGAGAGGTTTTTGCTATAGGGCGTGTGCGCTCGTCAGACAGAGAAAGCGAGAAATCACTCCCTCGGGGTTTGGCCACGCCGCAATCCCTTCTCCTCCATTCTCCTCTCGGGATCTTGGGCACGCACACACACGTACCCGGCGTGAGTTTTAATCCACCGGGTCCGAGACGCGAACCACGGTCGACTACGTGGGAGTCCAGCGACAGCCGTTACGCTAACTGCTGGTCCCAGCTTTTGGTTTTTCAATACATGAGGAGCCCGTCGGGAGTTAAGGACGGGAGACTAGTCGAGAGAATGTCTCGTGTCCGGACCGTTTGTCTCCTTGTCTTGGTCTACCCCTAGTAGGCCCTGCAAACTGTAGGTCGCCTAAGGTCGCAGGAGTGTCCCGTGGGTCACAGCACAGTAAGTGTTTACCAAGTGAGTCTGGCACTGGCTCCGGGCAGACCTTATATTCCGGTTTGTAGTCCCTTCTGGAGTATGGGGGAACAAAGCTGTGGGCTCTGGTTAGAAACCTGCTCAGGGCCGGCCTATGGCATTGTGGCTAAGGGGCTTGGATTTCCCATGGCCGACTGTGCGATTTCAATCCTGGACCCAATGGCTTGAAAAACACATGGGCACATGTATGTGCATGCCCGAAATTCTGAGAAGAAAATGGAGAAGGGATTGGAGTGGCCATCTTTCTGGGAGCTGGGAGGTGATTTCTTGTTTTCTCTGTCTCTGGCCAGTGCGTGTGTCCTACGGCAAATTTTAAGAAGAAAAACCCTTCTTTCTCACTTCAGGCCAAGACTCACCTGGGACTTTTTTGTTTTTGTTTCTGTTTTTGTAAGAGGTTTATGCTATTGCTCATGTGTGCTCGCCAAAGAGACAGAAAGCGAGAAGTCACCCGCCCAGGGGGATGGCCACTCCGCAATCCTTCCTCCTCATGGTGTTGGGCACTCGGGCCTGCACGCACGCACACGCACCTGGCTTGAGTTTTAAGCCACTGGGTCCAGGACGCTCACTGCGGTCGACCACTTGGGAGTCTAGCAGCACGATTCTGCCATCTGTGGTCCCACCTGGATGTTCTAATGGTGCCTTCTCTGTGTGCTTTCTTCCCAGGATCCCAGCTGGCTACTGCTTTGTAGAGTTCGCAGACTTGGCCACAGCTGAGAAGTGTTTGCATAAAATTAATGGGAAACCGCTTCCAGGAGCCACACCTGTGAGGACACGTAGCTATAGGATGTTGCTGTTTTTAAAAATATAACTACTTATCTCATCTTATTTATCATTAGTTTTTAAATTTCTATATGGCGTGTGTGCTCACCAGAGAGAGAAAGGAAGTGAGAAAGCAAGCCTCCGGGTCCTGGACTTGAACTGTGGGAGTCCAGCGCCCTAACCCCACGCCACCTGCCGGCCCCATGTTGCCATCTTGACTGTCATCAGTTACTACTGTCTTTTGAATGACTTATATGTACTTACTGCATCTTTTGAGTCCCGTAACATTTGTACAATAGGCATTGTTACCTTTTTTAATTATTTATTTTATTTATTCATTTATTATTTTAACTTGACCAGAGAGAGACAGAGAAAGAGTGAGAAAGCAAGCTACCAGGTCCAGGACCCGAACCGTAGTCAGCCATGTGGGAGTGTCCAGCACCTTAACCACCACACCACCTGCTGGTCCCAGCATTGTTATCTTTTTTTAATTATTTTTTAAACTTTATTTATTATTGTTATTTTTAAAAATCTGCCAGAACGAGAAACGTGAGGTAACTTGCCAGGGCCACGCAGGTAGTCAGTGCAGAGCCAGGATTAAAGTGAGGATGGCTGTTTCCTAAACCCTGCCCTTCCCACTGGGTGTCGCTGCCTCCTCTCCCGGACACCGGCCTCTTCTACCTCTGGCCTGACTATGCTGGCTAGAACAGGCTGCCCGCAGCGAGTCCGCGTCTGTTGGACCAGAGAGAGAGGAGGGAGAGTGAGAAAGCAAGCTGCCACGCCTGAAACCACTGTCAGCCATGTGGGAGTCCAGCGCCCCAACTTCCACACCACCTGTCAGCCCCTTATTTCAGGTTTTTTTCAAATATTGTTTGATTCTTGAAATGTCTATCTCTGTTTTAGTTTGTTTGTTTTTAAATTTCCAGGCAAAACGTTTTAAGCTGAACTATGCCACTTATGGGAAACAGCCGGATAACAGGTGAGTATAGAGTGGCCCAAGGTGGCCAAGCCTCAGGAGACGTCTGCAGAGACAGGGCACGCCGCAGCCTACCAGGAAGGATGGCGGGCCGAGTCTGGCTGCACTTGGGCCCCTCGTGGAGGAAGGCCCTCCCTTTCTGCCCTGGTGCGCTTCATGCCAGGACAGTGGTCCAGGTACCAGACGTGGTGATGAGAAGCACTTGGGGGTGTGTGCATGTGTGCCCCAGAATCCCAAGAAGAGAATGAAGGACAAGGGACTGCAGAAGGCCGTCCCCCCAGGAGATGGTTTCTCAGTATCCTCTCTGTTTCTGGTGAGTGCACTTGCCATATAGCAAAAAAAAAGAAAAAAAAAAAAAAGAAAAATTCCTGAAAGAAATTAAAAATCTACAGCTTGGGACCAGCAGGTGGCGTGGTCGTTAAGGTGCTGGCCACTCCCACATGGCCATCCACAGTTCAAATCTTGGACCTGGTGGCTTGCTTTCTCACTTTCCCTCTCTCTCTCTGTGTCTCTCTCTGGTCAAATTAAAATAAAATGAATGAAATAAATTAAATAAATAATTATTTTATTAAATCTACAGGTGATTTTTTTTTTTTTTAATTTTTGTCAGAGGGTGCCTGCTCTCTAGAGAGACAGAGAAGGCGTATGGGAAGTGGCCATGCCGCAACCCCATCTCCTGCCCCTCCTTACAGGGCCTTGGACACGCACATACATGTTCCTAGCACGCCTTCCAAGCCCCAGAGCCGGGACTTAAACTGCAGTAGCCATGTGGGGCCCGCTGTCACCACCAGACCACCCTCTGGCTGGCCGCCCAGGTGCTCTTTATCGGACAGAGTTGAAACCCACGTGACCTGGTAAAAGGGGAGCCAGCGCGTGCTGGCGTGTTGACGAGAGCGCCCTGCACTCCCCGGAGGTCACGGAGAACACTGGCGTCCAAGGTGCTGGGGAGGGTCACAGTGAGGAAAGTGCTGGACAGCGTGTGGTGGAGCCGTGGGGAAGGGGTGTACTCCTGTGGTCGCCTTTGAGCTGCGGGGTGTGGCGGTTTTATTTTACCTGTGCTTTTCTGGGTTTCTGTTTTAGTTTGCTGTGGGTTGTATGTGCTCACTGGAGAGAGACAGAGAGAGAGAGACAGGGAAAGTACGCAATCAGCCCCAGGGAATGGCCACACCACAATCCCTTCCTCACATCTGTCCTTTTGGGATTTGGGGAACGCATGCACAGGTGCCCAGGCTGCCCTTCAAGGCACTGGGCTCAGGACTTGGCCCTTGCAACTGGCTGTGTGGGGTCCCACCGAGCTCAACTCTGCGCCGCCTGCTGGCCAGACTTTCTGAATTTACTCAAGGGCACGTGTCATCATTGAAATGAGAACATAGTAACCAAAGTTGGCTTCTTCATTTGTTTTGATAATGACTTGATTTGTAATAGGGATTGGCAAACAGCCTAACTTGTATCACCCACACTCAAAACTTAATTTTTATTTATTTATTTATTTATTTTTGGGAGAGGTTTTTGCTATAGGGCGCGAGCGCTCACCAGAAAGATAGAGAGACAGAGAGACAGAAAGCGAGAAATCACCCCCCAGGGGGGATGGTCATGCCGC